GGTACGAGTGAACGGCAGCATGCGACCCTCTACAACCGACAACATCGCTGAAGCCGTCGACGACTACGACCGCATCTTGCAAGGACTGAATGTGTCAAGATGAGGCGAGCTCTGTACCTTGACCGGCACCTGCAGAGGCACTTGAGCTCTTGCTCACAGAGGGACCAACGCCGACATCGACATCAGCGGGCCTGGGAGCACCACCTCCGACACCTGCAAGTGGACTCGCGAAATATTGGATCTTGGAAAGACTGTCACCGAGAAGACAACAACGACGACTCGTCACGGACTGGAACCGATCGTATACATACAAAGTCCAGAAGTACAACGGCAAAACGACAACGGCCGCGATACGACTCATGCGCGGACTGTGCGCTTTCGGAAAGATTTGGGTCAAGACCCAGAAGGACGTGCCTCACTGAAGCTACGGACACCTGCCAAAGAGATCAAGATCGGGAGCCACACGGGTAACAATCGTGCCCAACTGGAGGCTCAAGAAAGCGACACATCCAGCATGGGCACGAAGCATGACATGCAAAACACCTTCGCCTCAATGAACCACGAAACCCTTGAGAATGAGACCGAGAAGATCTACCACCGCGACGTATGCGGCATCCGGAAGACGAGGCACCGTGACGGCTGCGTCCTGGCGGATGCCCCCGACAAGGCCACAGGCTTCCAGAACGAGGTCTTGCTACATGGGAGGCGCGAACGCGGCGACCCTCTACCAGGAGGCCGTCTAGACCCCCATCACCGACTGGACCAACGCGATGGACGAGGTCAAGCCCCACGAGCTGTACGCGAGGGGCCCTGCCTCCACGGAGCTGGTGGGCCTCTCTCTGCGGGTGTACGCCGACGACGTGAACAAGACGCACGAGGCGGCCCACCCCGACGGCATGACACAGTGCGTCAAGAAGTACGATTTCAGGATCGACGGGGAGCTGACCAAGCGCGGCATCGCACAGAGCGGCACCAAGAAACGGATCCTGCCCAGGTTCGTCGAACCAGGAGGCGGCAGGTACCCGAGTGCTGTATTCTACAGATTTGTGTACACCGATGGCCACAGCTTCGTCACGCACTCGCCCCCCTTCCTGTGGACAGCCTTCCATATAACAGAATCGTGGTGGGAGGAGGTGTCTGCAAGGTGCCAAGCGGTAAGGGGAGGATAGGTCCACATGAGAAAGTCCTGGAATGCGTGCAAATCATAGACCCTCAAGCTCATGGTGTTCCGCAACATTCTCGTCAGCTCAGCGCTCTCGGGCATCCCCGACCTCGTCCTGACCAAAGCGCAAGCGAGTGCATCATGTACGGGAGATCTCTACTTGGAGGAGTGGCGGAACGAGCATAATAACAAAGATCAGGATGCCATCGAAAGCGCAGAAAAGGCACGTACTACGACTCCCGCCCGCTTGGCTGGAGCTAAGAATACTGCGTCTACGCGAGTGGCAACCGGTGGCTCGAAACCCCGGCCGTCACATGCAGCAGCTGGCAGCGGTGTACGGATGATGATCCACGGGGAGCCCAAAATGCAACTGCTCAACTGGATGGACACAGACGCGGGCGAACTGCCCTCGACGGCGACGACCAACCCGTGGGCGAAGCAGTTCTTCGAGGACCTAGGGTACACCAGGATCACCGAACTCGGCCAGGAGCTCTGGGATACGCTGGAGGAGAAAGAAAGAGACTACATCGGCGTGCTAACGGTGTTCCGCATCAACCAGACCGCGAGGGAGCAAGACATCGCGACCCACATTTCCGAGCTGAGGGCGGAGCGGCTGCTCAGGGTGCCAGCACCGATGGAGCTCGAGGCCGAAACTGATGAGGTCGCCGAAGGCGACCACGTGTGCTGCCTGGACTGTGAGAGCGGCCTTGCCAGTGACCGCTGTTACAAAATAAACGAGCGCTTCGCGCACATCAATTGCACGGGGGTCAGCACGGGAATGAGTGGCTGCTGTCCAAGCTTCGTGTAACGAACCAATGCGTAGCATGAAGGTCCTCTTTAAAACCCTTCGACACGTAACCAAAGCGTATCACTATGGTAGGTGCAAGGTCGATCGGTCGCCTCCAAACTACGATGTCATCCCTATCCCCATTACTCAATGCTCATGTTGCCCGCCGACAATTGACTCAGAGGCGCGTCACGAGTATCATCAGGCTAGTCACCTTCCACAACCGCTCCAAGCCTTCAGCGTCGATGTTCCGAGCTGTGCCTGCCCTGGTGGAGGTGCAAAACGGCGATGCGACGAGAGGACAGGCGGACGGATCGGCAGGAGGAGGCGCCGAGAAGGAGAAATGTCGAGGCAAAGGAGAGCACGCAGCCAAACACAGGACGAGCTGGACAAGAGCGCCGTCGCAGCACTCGACGAGACGCAGATCAAGGAGGTACAGATGCTCGTCCCAGTCATGATGGAAATGCTGCTAAACCTCGGGATGCGACTTCGCCAGACCAACTTCATGCTGCTGACGACGGTCCTGGCTAATGCAGGATGGCGATGAATCAAGAAACACGTGGAACTATTAAAACATAGTGGCTTCGCAAAGCTGATTGTTCAAACGAGGAGAACAATTAAAACATATGGAATTCAATCTCGAACTTGTGAACACAAAAAACGGGACCACCACCGCGGCCGCAACTGCAGACGCAACCACCGCAACCGAGACCGAAACTGCAACACCAACCGAAAGTTGCTCACAGTGTGAAGAAAGTGCCAAGACATGAAATGCGCATATGGGGATGTACCAATCGGTTCCTACGACAGTTTCTACTAGGACACATCACATCTTCAACACCACCTCCTTATCAGCCATCTCCGTTTCCAACTGCGCCTCCTTATCTCCATCAGGCAACTGGATAATCACAAGTACTATCCGATCGTCGTTGTAATTGCACCCCGCTGCTGTTGGCTCCTCTCCTTTCTCCTTTAACCCTTCCTCCTAACCCTCCGTTTCGGCTCAGTCTGGCCTGTCGGCCGTCGGGGGCGCGCCCGAGGAGGGCGGGGGGGAACGATTCAAAAAATAGTTTCCCGGCCCGGGTTTGTTGTAACATCACTCCAGGCGCCATCGCGTGAACACGACCCTGGTCTCACTTTAATCACCATCCTCCATTACAACGGCACCCCAGCCTATCATCAATGCAAGGAACAAGGTGCGCGTGGGTGACCAGCATGCAGAAGCTACGGGCAGAGGCGAAGACAGACGACGAGCCGAAGAAGGACAGCACGATCAGCTGCGCGGCCCTGGTCGAGATCATCGAGGGACTCGAGTGCGAGGGCGACGGAGTCGGCCACGCGAACAAGGTCAACATGATCAAGCTGAAGGCGGAGATCCAGGACCTCACACTGGATGCATGCGAGATCAGGTTCCCGTTCGTACAGGTGGCGTCTGCATTCAAGTACAAGTACGCCAAAGTAATCATGGGAAAGTAGACGGACTTCGAGCTGACAGCGAAGTGCCTGGAGCAGCTGGGCGGCGAGATTGAGACAGGCATGGCACCCAAGTCGCACATGTAGAGGCTACTACACACCAAGCTCGCGGCCTTCAAGGAGATCCAGATCGTGCCTCATCGCCAGCTGCGGTGCCGCTGGCTTCAGAGCGTCCTGCGATGTTGAGTGCTGGCTGCCAGTGCTCATGGTGCAGGACGGTCGCGCATGCGGGGCCCGCTCGAGGTCCAGGACGATCGTGCCGACGGGGCCCAGTAGTTTTGCGAAAACCACCTCGACCGTGCAAGAAACTGACGGAATTTAGAACGACTCGGACAGTCAACTGCGCCGAGAGACCACCGTGCTACGTCTGCTGAGAGCTGCCGCTGATCCGACCGTTCTGTCGGGAGAGACTTCAAATGAGTCTCGCGAGAGCGGGGTGAAAGTGCTGGACCGTGAGCCTACCCCTCAAAAGCCCCTAAGAGTAGGACTTGACCCCGTGCCGACCCCGGTAATTGTTCCCCATCAACTCGTCCCATCTCACTACCAATGCCTTTGGGGGTAATCCTCCTCTCACTCCTGCTCTCACCTCTACCCTGCATGAAACCTCCATGCCGAGACGCCCCGCACTACCCCCGCCTTCGCAGCCTCCCCCTTCCTAAGCGTCTCAGACGGGCCTTGAAAACGGAGCACTGGGATGAAGTCGGCCAGCGCTCGAGCGCTTGTATCACTATGCGGTTCCCACGGGCAGTAGACAGGTCACCCGAAACCCCCTGTCTGTTTGGGGGCGGGCTTGTCCCGAAGTTTTCGGTTGCAAGGGCCGATTCTAGTGCGCTACTAGGCAGCAAACTGAGACACGCACCATAGGATTCGTTCGTTGCTCCTCCTCCTCCTCCTCCTCCTCCTCCTCTTCCTCCTCCTCTTCCTCCTCCGCCGCCGCAAACGATCCCTCAATCCCTCCTACCTCCTTCCTCCACCTCCTCCTCCTCCTCCACCTACCAGCGCCCGAGTCCAGACGCTCCTCAGTGCTAAGTAATCCCTCCCCCCTCTTCCTCGTCGTCAATCTCCTCCTCTCATGCCTGCTTATCCGCCCCCTCCTCCTCCTCCTCCTCCTCCTCCTCCTCCTCCTCCTCCTCCGCCTCCTTATCTTCTTCCTTCTCAACATCCTCCTCGTCCTTCTCCTCCGTCTCGCATTAGATCCCACGTCGTAGGACAATAGAAACAGCGTCGCGACAAAAGAAAAAGAGAGCTCTCGACCATACCCTTCTGCGGCATGTCTCGATTCAAATCGATCGGTGCGAGGCCCAGCTAGATCGACCCGTAAGGGTTCCAGGGCCCGAACAAAACGAAAACGCCCGTCGTGGACAAAACGAGGTCAAGATGGCTCGGGAATCTCTGAGGGCCAGGGCCAGCTGTTCTGGAAGGCGTGCCGAGCGCCGCGATTGCTCCAGGGAGCGCTCCAGAACGCCCTCAGAGCGTTCCAGAACGCTCAGGAGCGTCTCTTTCCTGCCCTAGCCCTGCCTGACCAGCATCCCCAGGTCCCAAGGCGCCTTGCCCGCCGCAAAGCCGCAGGCTAAGCCGTCACTCGCCGCTGCCCCCCGGTCGCAGACGCGGCGCGGCTCCGCCTGCTGCGGAGCCGCAGCCTCGGCTGGCGCGGTTCCCGCGCGGGCTGCCGCAGCCCTGGCCCCCGCCGTGGCCGCCGCGGCCGAGGGGCCCGCATACGCCACAGAAGCGGGCCAGCTTGCCGTGGGGGCAGCCGTTGCAGAGCCTGCAGAACCTGCGCACCCTGCCGTGGGGGCAGCCCCTGCACTCGGCGCAGCTGTAGCAGATGCGGCCGTGGGGGCAGATCCCGCACTCCTTGCACGACTGCTTACGCTTCCCGTGCGGACAAGGGTTGCAAGCCGCACAGAAACGCCGCACGCGCCCGTGGGGGCAACCGGCGCACTCTCGGCAGTTGTACCGCACTTTGCCATGGGGGCAGCCGGCGCACTGCGGGCAGTGGTTCCGGCGGGCCCCGTGCGGGCACGGGCTGCAGATCTTGCAGAAGCGCTCGAGGACCCCGTGGACGCAGCCACTGCACAAGGCGCAGTCTGGCTTGACGCGGCCGTGTTTGCAAGGGCTGCACTCCGCGCACCACGCGGCCAACCGCCCGTGCGGGCAGCCGCGGCACTCTGGGCAATTGCCTACCAGGCGCCCGTGAGGACAGGGTCTGCACTCAGCACAGCCCGAGCGGAGCTTGCCGTGGTCACAGCCTGAGCAAATGAGGCAGGCTGCCCGGACAGTTCCGTGGCCGCAGTCGTTACAAATGCCGCAGGTGTCTCTCACTCGCCCGTGCGGGCACTCAGCGCACACTGGGCAGCTCCGTGCAACGCGGCCGTGGGGACATGGCGCGCACAGCCGACAGCGGTCACGCACGCGCCCGTGCTCGCAGCCTGAGCAAAGAACACATCTATCTGAACGACGCCCGTGCTTGCATCGGCGCCCCTTCCTGGCCTTCGGCCACTCGCCACGTCGCACCATCGCAAGGCGTGTCCGCCGTGGCCTCTTGCCCACCAAGGGCGGCTCTGCGGGCAGCGGGCCCCGGTGCTTCTCCAGGAGGTGGGGGCAGATCGCGAACCTCAACCAGCGGCCTCTGCTCCGCCGCAGCAGCGGCATGCACTCGGCGCACACGCCAGGCCGCGCCTCCCGCCTGCGCGGGGCTGGCTCACTGGAGCTCAGCTCGCCCCAGGGGTCCTCCTGCCCCTGCGGCGTCTCGCCCCCCTGAGGTCCGCCCTGGCCGCCACATGCGGCGCCTGGCGGTGACTGAGGGGCGGCGCCTCCGCCGCCACCGCGCCCCGTGGAGCAGGTGCTAGCGCCGCAGCCATCGCCGCCAGGGCAAATGGCAGTCCACGCCAGGCCGAAGTCCCGGCGGGCGCGCTTGACGAATGGCCCCGCCCCAGGGCCTGCCGCGCGGGCACGCCGAAACTCCCATCTGGCGGGCGCGACTGGCGGCGGTGGCACCAGCGCCGCGGGCTCGGCGGCACCAGACACCCTCGACTCAGCCGCCTCGGCCGGACGAGGCAGACTGGCAGCAGCCAGCACGCCTGGCGCGGCCGACGCCGCCGACTCGGCCGGCTCCGCAGGCCCGGCCGGCGAGACGGGCGGCGCCGGCACCGGCGCATCTGGCCCGAGCGCCTGCTCGGCGGCAGCTGGCGCCATCGCCTCGGCTGGCTCGGCCAGGCGAGGCGGCTCGGCAGCGGCGCTCGGCGTGGCCGCCTCCGTCGACGGAGGCGGCCAGGCGGGCCCAGAAGGCCTGGCCGGCGAGGGCGGCGGCAGTTGCACCGAGGCTGCCGGCCTTGGCGTCTGCTCTGCAGCGGCCGCCGCGCTCGGCGCGGCCAGCTCTTCTGGGCGAACCGGGCCGGCGGCAGCCGGACGAGAGGGCTCAGCGGGAGCGGGTGCGCTCGGCGAAGCGGGCTCGAGCAGGCAGAGCTGCCTGGCAGACTCGGGATGCGGGGGAGGCGCCGCTGGCGCGCCCAGTCGGCCAGGGTCGCCAGGCACACTCGGCGGCGCCAGCGCGGCCAGGTCGACCTTCCGCCAGAGGGTCAAAAAAGCAGCCACCTGAACCCCCGAGTACGACTTCGTTAGCAGATACTGAAAAAGGACACCTGCACCCCCAATTTGAATTGTTCGCCACTTTTCCCCACCAAGAGGCGATCTTCACAAGTCCCGTCTGCGGGGCGCCAGTGCCCGTAGAATATGATTAGCTCTTCCAACCCCCTTCTTCCCCTTCGGAACCCCTCTCCCTACCCCCTCCCCCTGGACCTGGACGGGGCGCACCGCGAGGGGTTGGAGCGTCCAAGACACCTCGGCGAGAAAGCAAAACTATTGATTTGACTTAAGTGATGGGCCCATGTTGGTCTCCTGCGGGGGGGGCGCGCTAATTGTGTACCCCCCTTCTTTGACTGACCTCCTCCGAGATGACCCCAAGATGGCCCCAAAGGCTTCAAAGAGTGCCCCAAAAGGGCTCCAAGAGGCGCCGAGGAGGCCCCGAGAGACCCCCAAGATGTCCCCAAAAAGCTCCCAAGAGTCCCCCAAGAGGCCTCAAGAGGCTCCCCCGAGGCACCCAATACTCTTGAAAAGGTCCCCGGGACCGCCGAGGGGCCCCAAACACGCCCCAAGAGCTCTCAAGAGACATCCGAAACAACTCCAAGACGCATCCAAGAGGCCTCTGCCCTGTCTGCTCGCCCTCTTCTTCCTCCTCCTCCTCCTCATCCGCCTAATTATTCCTCCTCCTCCTCCTCCTCCTCCTCCTCCTCCTCCGATTTCTTCTGCGTCCTCCCCCTTTGGGTATGATGTCTTCCCCAGCCCCATGTTCCACTGCATGCTCCTCCACATCACTGATTCTGGCAACTTGTCCAGGCATCGTTTCTGAATGGGCTGGTGGGGTTACGCGAAGCATCTAGACTATTGTCGCTCGGTGTTCCAGTAGATAAGAGCAAACCTCTCGTCGGACGCGGAATGGAAATCCAAGGGGTGACGTCTAATCGAGCTGCGTGCAGCTGGCTTTTCCAGCGCCTCCCGCTACCAGAGGCGGCCATGTATCGAGGAACGCGCGTCGTGTCCATTCGGCCACTGCGGGCGCGCGCGCATGATGGCCCCCGCCGATCTGCACACCCTTCGGAGTGCGTCAACACTTTCCTGGTACACACATTCACAGCTCTGTATACCATTGTGAATTGAAGGCGCTGTTTATTACCATCACCGAAGTCCCACCAGCCCTCTGGGCGTAGGTGGTTTAGGGAGTTTCCTCGTCCACCTCTCCTTCTTCCCCTTCGGGGAGGGGTTTACCCCTCCCACTACCCCCTCCCCATGGACCTGGACACGGGGTTTCGCGAGGTGTCGGAGCGTCCAAGACGGCCTCGGCGAGGAAACCCATACCATTGGTTGTACTAAGGTTTTGGCCCCATGTTGGACTCCTGAAGGGGGGACCCCATTAGGGACCCCCCCTCCTGTGATCGATCTCACCCCAGATGGCCCAAAAATAGCCCCCAAGGCTCCCAAAGGTGCCCCAAGAGACCCGTAAGAAGTGTCCAGGAAGCCCCCAGAGGCCCCCAGGATGCCCCCAAGAGGTTTTCAAGAGACCCCCAAGAGGCCCCAAGAGACCCCCCAGACGCACCCAAGATGCCCCAAGAGGCCTCGGCGAGAATGCCACATCATTTATTTTCACTCAGGTTGTAGCCCCATGTTGGCCTCTTGGGGGGGCACTGATTAAGATGACTCCAACAGCGCCTGGGGGAGCCTAGGATGACCTCCAAGATGGCTCAAGATATCCCAAGATGTCTCAGAATGGCTCCCACGATGCTCCAAGATGCCCCAAGACCGCTCCAAGACGGCTCCAAGTGGTCAAAGAGCTCCCCAAGGAGGCCCCGAAGAGGCCAAAACCGTGGGACAATCTATATGTTTGGCGTTCTCGCCGTTTCGCTTCCGATGGCCATCCGAAGCCTCAAGATGGCTCCAAGATAACCCAAAAAGGGTCCAAGAGAGGCTCAAGAGAGCCCCAAGACGGCCCCAAGAGCGCCCCAAGAGGCGATTTGTTGGGCTCCCGAGGGGCAACGCTAACTAATGTTAATTCGTTTTTTGTTTGATCCATGTCCTCCAAGATGGCCTCAAAAGCGCTCCCAAGGCTCCCAAAAACGCTTCAAAGGGCCTCAAGAAACGCCCAGGAGGCCCCAACAGGCGCCCAAGAGGCCTCCAAGATGTTCCCAAGAGACCCCCACGAGGCCCCGAGAAACTCTCCGAAGCACCCAAGACGCTCCAAGAGGCCTCCATTGGGGGACCCTTCCTCTGTGTGCTGCCTATTTCCCTGATCGAACCCATTCCTCTGGACATCGTTTATGGATGGGCTGGTGGGGTTACTTTTTTGTCGCGACCGCAGGCGAGCGCGCCAACGGCGAGCAGGGTCGAGCGGGCCACGCGCGAGCCTAATTGCCGAACGCCGGCGAACCGGCGGCCTAAGCAGCACCTACGCGGGCCGGACAGCGCGAGGGGATGCAAGCTGCAGCTGCCAGGAAACAGGCCCAGGAGCGAGCGCATGCAAAATTAAAAGGCTGGCGGGTTTACTTCTTAGTCATCGGCCGCGGGCGAGCGTGCCGGCGGCGAGTCAGGTCAATGCGGGCTACGCAGAGACGAATTAAGCAAAGGCAGCGGGGGCAGGCCACGTCTAACGCAGCTAGCCGAGGCCTCACGCGGCGGCCCAGCGGTGGGCGAGTGGCAGGGGTGACTGAACTGAGTCGAGCTGCCAACGTGCAAATACGCAGGGCGTCCCGGGCCACATTTTGGATGCCCGGAGCCAAACTGTAGGCCACTTCGTGGACTTCGAGTTTCCAGAACTCAACTCCCGGGCCACATTTTGGGTGCCCGGAGCCAACTGTAGGCCACTTCGTGGTCTTCGAGTTCCCAGAACTCCATTCCCGGGCCACATTTTGAATGCCCGGAGCCAACTGTAGGCCACTTCGTGTTCTTCGAGTTCCCAGAACAACATTCCCGGGCCACATTTTGAATGCTGAGGCAGGCTGATGCTGAGGCTGGGGCAGGCTGAGGCTGAGGCCGAGGCTGAAGGCAGAAACTGAGGCTGAGGCTGAGGCAGGCTGAGGCTGAGGCTGAGGCAGGCTGATGCTGAGGCAGGCTGAGGCTGAGGCTGAGGCTGATGCAGGCTGAGGCTGAGGCAGGCTGAGGCTGAGGCCGAGGCTGAAGGCAGACTGAGGCTGAGGCTGAAGCAGGCTGAGGCTGAGGCTGAGGCAGGCTGAGGCTGAGGCTGAGGCAGGCTGATGCTGAGGCAGGCTAGTTCCCAGAACTCCATTCCCGGGCCACATGCTGAGGCAGGCTGATGCTGAGGCTGAGGCAGGCTGAGGCTGAGGCAGGCTGAGGCTGAGGCCGAGGCTGAAGGCTGAGGCTGAGGCTGCAGGCTGAGGCTGAGGCTGCAGGCTGAGGCTGAGGCTGAGGAGGCTGAGGCTGAGGAGGCTGAGGCTGCAGGCTGAGGCTGAGGCTGAGGCTGAGGCTGAGGCTGAAGGCAGGCTGAGGCTGAGGCTGAGGCTGAGGCTGCTGAGGCTGAGGCTGAGGCAGGGCTGAGGCAGGCTGAGGCTGAGGCTGAGGCTGATGCAGGCTGAGGCTGAGGCAGGCTGAGGCTGAGGCCGAGGCTGAAGGCAGACTGAGGCTGAGGCTGAAGCAGGCTGAGGCTGAGGCTGAGGCAGGCTGAGGCTGAGGCTGAGGCTGAGGCAGGCTGATGCTGAGGCAGGCTGAGGCTGAGGCTGAGGCTGATGCAGGCTGAGGCTGAGGCAGGCTGAGGCTGAGGCCGAGGCTGAAGGCAGACTGAGGCTGAGGCTGAAGCAGGCTGAGGCTGAGGCTGAGGAGGAGGCTGAGGCTGAGGCAGGCTGGCTGAGGCTGAGGCTGAGGCTGAGGCTGCAGGCTGAGGCTGAGGCTGAGGCAGGCTGAGGCTGGCTGCAGGCTGAGGCAGGCTGATGCTGAGGCTGAGGCTGAGGCTGAGGCTGATGCAGGCTGAGGCTGAGGCAGGCTGAGGCTGAGGCCGAGGCTGAAGGCAGACTGAGGCTGAGGCTGAAGCAGCTGAGGCTGAGGCTGAGGCAGGCTGAGGCTGAGGCTGAGGCAGGCTGATGCTGAGGCAGGCTGAGGCTGAGGCTGAGGCTGATGCAGGCTGAGGCTGAGGCAGGCTGAGGCTGAGGCCGAGGCTGAAGGCAGACTGATGCTGAGGCTGAAGCAGGCTGAGGCTGAGGCTGAGGCAGACTGAGGCTGAGGCAGGCTGAGGCTGAGGCTGTGACTGCGACTGCCGTTGCCACTGCGGCTGTCATCGCGAATGCGTCTACGACTGGCAGAACAGCAGAATTCTACAAATGGCTTCTCATCTGAATATTAAGGGGAATGCTTCCAGATATGCTCCTACACATCGCTGTTAGCTTGCTTTGCCGGGATATTTTTTAACAGCCGCAGGCGGAAGCGCCGGCGGCGAGCAGTCACGGTCGGGCTGCGGCCGCGACTAAATTCCCGGGCGCGCGCGGGAGCCGCGGATCAGGCGGCGGAGGGCAGCAACCCAGGGCGTCTGAAAGGTCAGGCGGTCGCGCAAACCCAGGGAGTCTGAGGGGTCAGTCACCTGAGGCGGTCGTGCAAGCTGCAACCCAGAAGGTCTGAAAGGTCAGTCGCCCAGGAGC